TTAGGTAGGCGTGGCTGACTCTTAACTTTTATAAAGAATATCTCTTTGGATTTGAGACTTTAGTCTTTGCAACTTTACAGATCTTCTTTATGCACCAAGAGCTTGTAACACTCCAAAGAGAAAGGAAAAATTGAAATCGCATCATATGACCCCTTTAAGATGGGTTTCCAACAAGAGTATTGCACTGGGAGCTGCATTAGACCTTTCCATTAGTTTCAATCAATGAAGTGTCTTAATATATAATAATATACATAAAATGTATATTTATATACGTCCCCTCCCATATATAATAGAATATTATAATATGTCTTACGTTTCTGAGCTCCGTTGAAAAGCGCTCTATCTTTAGGTGTGTCTCCAACCTCAATGATTTTAGCTCCTGCCAGCAGCTGCATGATTAGACCAGATGTCACAATGGGAGAGATACCCAACTCCATCAGAGTACCTGAAACACACATTATTAAACTTTAAACTTAATCTAATTTTCCAAAGACGGATGACCAATATAAAACAAAACAAAAAAATTGTGTTTACCAGACACTACATATAACTGAGTGGTTTTGGAGTAAATATTAATTTTAGATAATTATGTATTAGTTTTGGGCAGATATTGATTTTCTTAAAATCAGCCTGAATTAATTAATTAAATGATATAATGCTGTGCAATTGTTATTAATCTGACATTGATAATTGATTAAATCATTCGTCTTCATTCAACAGGGGATGACTGATTCAATCACTGCTTGCACTGCTGATTCAGGTATACGCACCTCTGTTGGATGCCAGGATCACTCTCATCCAGTAAAAGGGATCAGCTGAGTCTGAAGACATAATCCCAAAGAGGGGAATCTGGAGGACAGAGATCACCGTAGATCACTCAAACATAAAAGTTTATGGTCTCAGACAGCAAATTAAACACATCCAAAGACGGTAATGTTTACTTTGAGAGGTTTATAAATGCACAAGAATGATTTTGTTAATCATCAACAGCACTTCAGAGAGCTCAGGAGTTTAAATAAGAGTGAACATACCTGGCAGCACACCAGAAAGATGAACAGGGTGATTGCAGTCCATAACACTTTTTCTCTGAACTGAATCTGTGGGGAAGGGATTCAAGGAGTTAGTATAACTAAAGCGCCACAAAAACAAGCAAAGCAAAAATATGATGTGATCAAACTGCATACCCTCCTCTCTGGTTTCTGGATCTCTGGTAAAACCGCACAGAATGGCTTGATCACTTCTAAGAATTTAACTGGAAAAAAAAAATGCACTTAGGTTTACAGTTGTTATGCCTAACTTGAGAAAGCAAGACAATGTTGCTATCCTGGTGATTCAGGCGACGTGGCTTTAGAGTTTCTGGAAATCAAACAAGTTACTTGAATCTGTCTCTCTTGCAACGTCATCATTCAATCCAAGAAGAAAACCCCCGTTTTAAATAACAAGATCAAAACCTCATCTGTCCATTAAATGAGTGCTAAAAACTAAAACAAATCACGCTAAAAAAAAAACAAAAATAAGGATGTACAATTACCGACGTTAGCAGACTTTTGCATTGTTGTGTTATATTTTAAGTATGCACCATGTTCCCAGTTAAATTACTTGTTATGTGCAATATACTACACGTTTAAAAAGTACACGACGTCTATGCGATGAAAATAAACAGCAATTGCATTTTTGACCAGGCTAGTTAACTGACCAAGTACTAGCTGGCTATGGTCGCTTTAAAAATCAGTACAATTACAAATGTAACCATTAAAGTCACATTTTAGACAACTATATATATATATATATATATATATAGCTATGAAGTGCGTGTTTTTGTAAACTCGACAATAAAACAATGAGGAACATGAGATTCTGACAGTAAAATACAGTTGCTAATCTATAATGAAGAAGCACTGAAGCTAAACAGTTATTTTAAAATAGCAGTTGCTTATAGCTACAGAATGCACTAAACTCCTTTTTAATAGAATCGAATAAAGTAATAATCATGACGACTCACTGGCCATGGTGTCCCCTCTGATGATTGTCCCAGTCTAGCGTTAGCTAGCACCGGTCAGCGGCTCTAAATGAGGAACGTGTTCAGGACACGTCATCACCAAGAGCACAAATACACGTCAGTATCTGTGCCACAGAAACAGCGGGCTCGATATGAAATGGGCGGGATTAGTGGCCCGGACGTTGTCTCTAATACATGTATGATTGTAAAAAATAACAGTTTTGCAGTTATGCTGTTTCATTTTTCACTAAGTCTTTATGTAATAGATATTTAGGTTTTTTAAGATGTGAGTGTGTTCAGACGTAGATTATAGCTTGAACGTCTAAGGGTGTCACGTGTTAACTGTTACTTTTCTCAGCGCAGGCCAAAACTGACAAACCAGAATCATTTATGAGCTAATAAGAATTGAAAGACTTTTTATAGAAATTACTGGGGTTGATTTCTGTATTTATGCTAGGGGGCAAAAACTTTGAAAGGTATATATTTAAAAGATTATACAATTTAGTATACACATATTATAACTAAAACAAACACGTGCTGAGATTTTAGTGTTTTTCCGATGAGGTTTGGGTTTCTAGACTCCTGGCGGAAGACTATTTTTAGGATACATGAATGTTTTGTTCTTTTTCAGCACAACCAGATTTTTAATGGATTAAAATGACTCATAGATTAGAATTATTGATTTTTTTAGTATTATTAACAAATGTTATTACAGTTGCTTTTCGTCTGTCAAGTCACTAATGAGATTGACAGATGCATTGATGCATTAGCCAACGTTATTCTTTACAAAGATAAACCTTAAGGTAATAATGCGTATTGTTTTATGCTGTTAGAATTATTTTTAACACAAACTACGTTCAATTAGAACATAATACCCACAGTTAAGACGCACAACATAGCCTATCAGTGTTTAGCTATATAGATTTTGTGGTAAATTGTTTGTGTCTGCGCAAAATAACTGAAATGTTCAAATTCACGGCTAATTTTTTAAAATATGACTTCACTGAGTGCATCTTCAACATTGCCGTTTAATAGGTTACTTGACACAAATAACCGACAGGGGGCATCCCTTCATCAGAAATCCGGAGGCTCTTGATTCATGGAACACCTGTTGCCACAAGGACTTGACTGCTGAATCAGAGGTATTAGAACCCCTGAACATGAAGTAGGCCTACACATTTATTTGGACATATAGGCTACCAACGATAATACCATGATTTTTGGACATGTATCATCATATCGCCAGTAGCCTATTCTGATTATCATTTATCAAATTATCATTTGATACCATCATGGTAGTTCCACTTCAGTGCTTTTTAGTTCAGCACAGTTCTGTGATTTGAGATTATGATTTGATTTGAAAACAAGGTGATTCACACTGTCAGAAATCTGACTGATATAATCTGATGTGTTTTATTATATTAAAAAGTATACATTTTATGAGTTGATGTAATTCACATCACAGCAACATTTAAAACTTGATAATGAATTATTTAACTGACCTTTTTTAAACAATTATAGTTCATCAAAACCGATTGTTGAATGGGTACAATGTGATTATGACAGCAGATTATCCTAGTCTGGTGTCTGCAGCTGATGCAGGCCAATCTGACACACATAATCACTGAGCCGTACTAACATTCACACCAACCAGGGATTAAAACAAATGGCAGAGCAGAGAACACATGGCTTTTTGCTCAGTACTTTATACACATTTATGCGCACAGCGGCTGATTGTTCTGGTTAGAGATGAGCCGTCGTCTGCACTTTAATAAAGATACTTGTTCAGACTGGTTATATAATGGTCAGTGAACTGTGAGATAACACAGAGGTGAGGACAAGCAAATACCACACAAATCACACATACTTTTCTCACCCAACTGTTCATTTTCTTTTACATCTCAGTGTTGTGTCATATAAGGCAAAAAAATGTCATTTTGCACTTTGTTTGTGTGTGTGTGTGTGTATGTACACCTCATGTAAATTCATAAAGGAATAATATTTCAGCCATGTTGAAGGATGTGGAATCTGGACTGAGAAGAAAGTGGCATGATACATAAGCAAAGGAAATTAATATTTCCCAAAATGTTTATTTTCACGTACACCAAGGCCTTCCGCTTCATTTATTTTTATGGGGTTTACATTTCTCAGTGAGATATAGTACATTTGAGCTGCTATTTTCAGATGCTGTTGACATAACGCAGGATTTCAATTCTTCAGTTGCTAACTGTGCTGAGAGTTATATGATTTATTTTATGGATTATGTGACATTTCAGTTGGCTCATCTGATTCACCTGGGTTTGGTTTACAATTTGAGAGACACATTGCCGAGCTACATCCTTTTTTCAGTGCCTTACATAAACTGGTGAAGTTAACTTATTTAATTTCATATTTAGGAATCAAACTGCCATAATGAATGTTGTTTTACTCACATTAATTGGTTCTCAGTTTTAAGTTCTTATAAGCACTCAAACAATACTAGGAACCAGTACAAATTCATATTTCGCTGGTCATCATGGCTTAAATCTTTCCTCTTAATGAGCTGACAAGCCAGTTAAAAAGTTGGATTATTAGAAATTACAATTATAGTCATTTTTCCTTGTGAACAGACTCTTACTGCAACATACAGTCTTTGACCTAAATCAATTGCATTAATGCAAAAATTATTTTTTTAAATAAATTTTGTATATTACTCTTTAATGATTTATTTTTATTGTGTATTTATGGAGCTGCGAAAAATGTTTGTTTGCATTTATTTAAAATAAATATTAATATAAAGATTTGGATGTGCTACTATTTATTTGTTTATTAATCATTTTTTTAAATATGAATAGTGTTATATAGTGTCATATTTTAAATGTTTTCAAATAATTTTAATATTTAAGAAAGTGCAATTAAATGTGGAAACAGACACTGAAAAAAATAGTGCAGAAACCATTTTCATTCATAAATTGCTAATACATTTCACAAATAATAACAAAGAACACATTAAATAAAACCTGAAATTTTCAAGTAGAAATACTGAAATAATATATTCTTGTAAAATGTACTCTAATAATCTTTGTTATATTTACAACTTTGAAAATTATTTACAGTGTAACAGGCATCTGTTGGCAAGATATTGTTGCTTTAAAATTGTGAAACCCATTGTATAGTTTCTCTGTGCTCTTTCCTCCTGCTCTTTAATGGCGTAAAATCATTTAAGCTTGATGTAAACTCGCTGGCCTGGTGCACATGGTATTTTACAACATCCAGAGACATTTACTTAAGTGACACCCTCATTTATTTATCACGTCAGAGATATGATCCCTAAACCTTTGATGAGGCATGACAAATTTGTTTAGACAGAGTAAACTCTGGTTAATTCCACATATGCTCAGACACAATCACTAAACAGATACTGTCTAGACTACTGAGGTAAACTGATGCATTATCATCAAATGCCAGAGCCGTTTTGCTCATGTGCGCCTTTTTCAGATTAGTGTTTTTTCCTTATATTTAGACGCATCTATAAATACTGTTAGTGAGTTAGAAAGGTGTCTGATGAGTCACAATGTGACATTTTATCAGGACAGCAGAGAACAGAATGCTTTACAGCTCAACCGATTCATAAACCAAGAGCGCAATACTAGAATCAACTGGGAAGTCAATACATTTTAAAATTAGTTCTAGTCTTTTTTTATTCCTCCTTAAAATGCCATAAGCAAAATAGTAAGAATGCCTTTGGATCAGCACCCAAAATATTTTCTCTGAAGTATTATACACAGCAGACTAGTTGCATGCCTCTGAATACATTCAACAGTACACCAGAACACTTTACAAATGCTTGAGACATTGTTACACCATCCTTGTTACATCAAGGCCACTGAATAACATTCAGTGCTTCACTGCCATTCGACCAGGTTTTCAAAGGAAGAGTTCAGCCAAAAATGAAAAATCTGTCATTATTCATTGTATTTGTATCATTTCAAACCCGCATACTATTATTTTATAAGCAGAGCACAAAAGGGGGGGAAAATCAGTTTTTTGATTCAACAGCAGTTTGTAGTAGCAATCTCAGCAGAAAATACCTTCCAATAATGTATGAACCACACTGTAAAAAGAGGAAAGAAAAAAGAAAAAGATTTTTCGAAGTTGTAAATTAAACAAACTGATCAGGTTTAAATTAATTAATAAATAGGTTGTAAATAACATGAAGATGAGTAAATAATGATAGAATTTTAGGTTATGAATATATGGCTATTGAAAACCGCTTTATAAATGTCATAAATGTGACCCTGGACCACAAAACCAGTCTTAAGTCGCTGGGGTATATTTGTAGCAATAGCCAAAAATACATTGTATGGGTCAAAATTATAGATTTTTCTTTTATGCCAAAAATCATTAGGACATTAAGTAAAGATCATGTTCCATAAAGATATTTTGTACATTTCCTACTGTAAATATATCAAAACTTAATTTGTGATTAGTAATATGCATTGCTAAGAACTTAATTTGGACAACTTTAAAGGTGATTTTCTCAATATTTTGATTTTTTTTTATCACCCTCAGATTCCAGATTTTCAAATAGTTGTATCTATATGGCCAAATATTGTCCAATCCTAACAAACCATACATCAATGGAAAGCTTATTTATTCAGCTTTCAGATGATGTATAAATCTCAATTTCAAAAAATTGACCCTTATGACTGGTTTTGTGGTCCAGGGTCACAAATATCAAGGTTTTTTTTTAGTAGTACACTGTAAAATCTGTATTGATTTTTTTTTTTCACCTTCATTGCGTTACCTTATATTCATCGCATTGTGATTTTTAACAGAAATGGCTGTAAAATTAATGGATAATATTCTGGCAAAAAAATAATAGTGATAAAAATAGAAAAAAATTGCAATTAAATAGAAATAATATTTAATAGAAACAATAAAGAAATATAAATAAAGAAAAATAAATTTAATACAAAAAAATCCAAAATTAAAAAAAGAAAATTATTTTTTATTTTTTAGGACCTCTCTGTCTGAAAACTGCTTCATACCATCCCCCTCCATTATCTTCAACTTTTTAGGTGGACAACAAAGAGCGTCAGTTATGTAAAAACAACACTTAGTCAACCTTGACCTATCTTTCTGCCTGCGGGGGGTTCAGCTGGGCTGAGCT